TTTTAATCTATGTATTGTTTTTGTAGCACACCTGTATGACTTTGAGACATTGTAACTGACTTCACACACCTGTATGACTTTGAGACATTGTAACTGACCTCACACACCTGAATGACTTTAATACATTGTAACTGACCTAACACACACCTGAATGACTTTGAGACATTGTAACTAACTTCACACACCTGCATTACTTTGAGACATTCTAACTGACCTTACACACCTGCATTTCTTGGAGACATTGTAACTGACCTCACACACCTGCATTACTTGGAGACATTGTAACTGACCTCACACACCTGAATGGCTTTGAGACATTGTAACTGACCTCACACACCTGTATGACTTTGAAACATTGTAACTGACTTCACACACCTGAATTACTTTGAGACATTGTAACTGACCTCACACACCTGCATTACTTTGAGACATTGTAACTGACTTCTCACACCTGCAGTACTTTGAGACATTCTAACTGACCTTACACACCTGCATTTCTTGGAGACATTGTAACTGACCTCACACACCTGCATTACTTGGAGACATTGTAACTGACCTCACACCCCTGCATTACTTTGAGACATTGTAACTGACCTCACACACCTGCGTTACTTTGAGACATTGTAACTGACCTCACACACCTGAATGGCTTTGAGACATTGTAACTGACCTCACACACCTGTATGACTTTGAAACATTGTAACTGACCTCACACACCTGCATGACTTTGAGACATTGTAACTGACCTCACACACATGTATGACTTTGAGACATTGTAACTGACCTCACACACCTGAATGACTTTGAGACATTGTAACTGACCTCACACACCTGTATGAATTTGAGACATTGTAACTGACTTCACACACCTGCATTACTTTGAGACATTCTAACTGACCTTACACACCTGCATTTCTTGGAGACATTGTAACTGACCTCACACACCTGCATTACTTGGAGACATTGTAACTGACCTCACACCCCTGCATTACTTTGAGACATTGTAACTGACCTCACACACCTGCATTACTTTGAGACATTGTAACTGACCTCACACCCCTGCATTACTTTGAGACATTGTAACTGACCTCACACCCCTGCATTACTTTGAGACATTGTAACTGACCTCACACACCTGCATGGCTTTGATACATTGTAACTGACCTCACACACCTGCATGGCTTTGATACATTGTAACTGACCTCACACCCCTGCATTACTTTGATACATTGTAACTGACCTCACACCCCTGCATTACTTTGATACATTGTAACTGACCTCACACCCCTGCATTACTTTGATACATTGTAACTGACCTCACACACCTGCATGGCTTTGATACATTGTAACTGACCTCACACACCTGCATGGCTTTGATACATTGTAACTGACCTCACACACCTGCATGGCTTTGATACATTGTAACTGACCTCACACACCTGCATGGCTTTGATACATTGTAACTGACCTCACACACCTGCATGGCTTTGATACATTGTAACTGACCTCACACACCTGCATGGCTTTGATACATTGTAACTGACCTCACACACCTGCATGGCTTTGATACATTGTAACTGACCTCACACACCTGCATGGCTTTGATACATTGTAACTGACCTCACACACCTGCATGGCTTTGATACATTGTAACTGACCTCCCACACCCGCATGACTTTGATACATTGTAACTGACCTCACACACCTGCATGGCTTTGATACATTGTAACTGACCTCCCACACCTGCATGGCTTTGATACATTGTAACTGACCTCCCACACCTGCATGGCTTTGATACATTGTAACTGACCTCACACACCCGCATGGCTTTGATACATTGTAACTGACCTCACACACCTGCATGGCTTTGATACATTGTAACTGACCTCACACACCTGCATGGCTTTGATACATTGTAACTGACCTCCCACACCCGCATGGCTTTGATACATTGTAACTGACCTCACACACCCGCATGACTTTGAAACATTGTAACTGACCTCCCACACCTGCATGACTTTGAAACATTGTAACTGACCTCCCACACCCGCATGACTTTGAAACATTGTAACTGACCTCCCACACCTGCATGGCTTTGATACATTGTAACTGACCTCACACACCTGCATGGCTTTGATACATTGTAACTGACCTCCCACACCTGCATGGCTTTGATACATTGTAACTGACCTCCCACACCCGCATGACTTTGATACATTGTAACTGACCTCACACACCCGCATGACTTTGATACATTGTAACTGACCTCCCACACCTGCATGGCTTTGATACATTGTAACTGACCTCCCACACCCGCATGACTTTGATACATTGTAACTGACCTCACACACCTGCATGACTTTGAAACATTGTAACTGACCTCACACACCCGCATGACTTTGATACATTGTAACTGACCTCCCACACCCGCATGACTTTGATACATTGTAACTGACCTCACACACCTGCATGGCTTTGATACATTGTAACTGACCTCCCACACCCGCATGACTTTGATACATTGTAACTGACCTCCCACACCTGCATGACTTTGATACATTGTAACTGACCTCCCACACCCGCATGGCTTTGATACATTGTAACTGACCTCCCACACCCGCATGACTTTGATACATTGTAACTGACCTCCCACACCTGCATGGCTTTGATACATTGTAACTGACCTCACACACCTGCATGGCTTTGATACATTGTAACTGACCTCACACCCCTGCATTACTTTGATACATTGTAACTGACCTCCCACACCTGCATGGCTTTGATACATTGTAACTGACCTCACACACCCGCATGACTTTGATACATTGTAACTGACCTCACACACCCGCATGGCTTTGATACATTGTAACTGACCTCCCACACCTGCATGGCTTTGATACATTGTAACTGACCTCACACACCCGCATGGCTTTGATACATTGTAACTGACCTCCCACACCCGCATGACTTTGATACATTGTAACTGACCTCCCACACCCGCATGACTTTGATACATTGTAACTGACCTCACACACCTGCATGGCTTTGATACATTGTAACTGACCTCACACACCTGCATGGCTTTGATACATTGTAACTGACCTCACACACCTGCATGGCTTTGATACATTGTAACTGACCTCCCACACCTGCATGGCTTTGATACATTGTAACTGACCTCCCACACCTGCATGGCTTTGATACATTGTAACTGACCTCCCACACCTGCATTACGTTGAGACATTGTAACTGACCTCCCACACCTGCATTACGTTGAGACATTGTAACTGACCTCCCACACCTGCATGGCTTTGAAACATTGTAACTGACCTCCCACACCCGCATGGCTTTGATACATTGTAACTGACCTCACACACCTGCATTACGTTGAGACATTGTAACTGACCTCACACACCTGCATGACTTTGAGACATTTCTACTGACCTCACACACCTGCATGACTTTGAGACATTGTTACTGACCTCACACACCTGCATGACTTTGATACCTTGTAACTGACCTCCCACACCCGCATGGCTTTGATACATTGTAACTGACCTCACACACCTGTATGACTTTGAGACATTGTAGCTGACGGACAAGATGACCTCAGACACGACACAAAGTGCACGCCATCAATGTTTCCTAGCTAAGTGGGATAATGGTCGAGTCGCACTTACAAAACAATATATTCATTTTTAATATTACCGAAATCACGTTGTTACAAGTGGAACTCGAAATAGAAGGGAATGATGAAATAGATGGAAGTTACAATTTACAATTGATGAATGTATCATTGGTGAATATATTTGTGATTAAATAAGTTTGGATTTAAAATTAATAATATTTATTTGGTGAATGTATCATTGGTGAACGTATAATTGGTGAATATTTCACTGGTGAAAATATAATTGGTGGAGGTATCATTGGTTAACATATAATTGGTGAATATTTGACTGGTGAACATATATTTGGTGAATATTTCACTGGTGAAAATATAATTTGTGAGTCGATCACTGGTGAACATATAATTGGTGAATCTATCATTGGTGAACATATAATTGGTGAATCTATCACTGGCGAACATATAATTGGTGAATATTTCACTGGTGAAAATATAATTTGTGAATCTATCACTGGTGAACATATAATTGGTTAATCTATCATTGGTGAATGTATCATTGGTGAACGTATAATTGGTGAATATTTCACTGGTGAAAATATAATTGGTGGATGTATCATTGGTTAACATATAATTGATGAATCTATCACTGATGAATCTATAATTGGTGAATCTATTATTTGTGAGCATATAATTGGTGAATCTATCATTGGTGATCATATAATTGATGAATCTATCACTGATGAATCTATAATTGGTGAATCTATTATTTGTGAGCATATAATTGGTGAATCTATCACTGGTGAACATATAATTTTTGAATCTATCATTGGTGAACATATAATTGGTGAATCTGTCGCTGGTGAACATATAATTGGTGAATCTATCATTGGTGAACATATCCTTGGTGCTTCCTGTGCAGAATACGTGAGCCGCGAGGAGTGTGATCGACGTCAGAGATTATCTAAGGGAAACAACTCGTTTTACAGTAAACCATGCTTAGAGCCTTGTAAACGAATGTAATGTCAATACTTTATTTTTATCATCTCACTCATTTCTTTTCTTTTATTGCACTCTGAACAATGTCAGCCTACTCATTCTATAGATTGCCTGCTAGGAGCAATACAGAGCGAAAGAACGAAACATATGAAATACTAAGGGCTGAGGAACAAAGTGCATTTAAAAAAAAAAAAACAGTTACCAAATGAAAAGGAAACAACTCTAGTCATTATCTTGTCATGCATAGCTGTTCGAGAACTCAGGGGTTGCGTTACATTCCATGAAAGACATTTTTAAGATGCTGATCCAGTTGTTCACCATCTTTCTTCTCACCATCACTGCGGTCGTCGCCGGCCCCCAAAAATGCGCAGACGATAAAAATAATGCGGCCAGTTGCAGAGGCAGAAAAGGCGGAAATAAATTGAATGAATCTCAGAAAAATGGTAAGTAGTTGGATAACCTCCCCTTTACAATGTGAGATTTTTTTTTTTTAAATTGCAATTGACTCTTATTATCTCTAGTTCACTAAACTACTAATATTTTGTAAACTTGCACAAAGCATTGTCCCAAAAGATTCAAGATGTGTATAAATGATAAGATGAGTTTTTAATTTTTGAAAAGACACCAACAAACTTCAGCTCCAGTTCAAAATGTCCTACACCAAAACTTTCAACAGCCCTTTTCAGCCAATCAAATCCCCTTGTTTTAATCATCTTCAGTCTCCGTGTCAAACTTACGTCACCAGTCATGTGACAGCTGGTTTGGCTAAAATCCCCAACGCACAAGATTCTATTGCTATATATCAAACAAATCCATGATAGAGATTGTGTTTTACTGATACTACGATTCTGGGCCTCAACTCATTGATTTATTTCAATCATGGATTTTAATAACAGTCATTTATAAACCGGTTTTGGTTTGAGGAATCAGGTTTTAAACAATTTTTTTTTTAAAATGTCCAATCAGGGCTCCATTCGTGCAAGAACACATTGCTTTAGCGTTACTGCACTTTTGTAAAAAAAAAATTTTTTCTAAGAAATAAATACATGTTTATTAAGGGTGGGGTGTAGCAGGTGGAAACCCGTGACGAACTGTGTAGTAAGAAAGGCCCGGAGCCCGCCCCCCAACGGAGATTGTAATAACAAATCAAAGGCCCATGACGAATGCTCGTCGCGTCGTCGTGAGCCAGCACGTCCCTGGGGTGTAGTGTGGTCTTAGGTGAACTGCCCCCCCCCCCACCATTACTTGACACCCTCACTGCAATGTATTCCATATATTGGTTTAGTATTATTTATTTTAAAATCTAGACTTTTTTTTTGTTCTTCTTGATATACGTAGCTATCATGGATCAATAGGATTCGAACACCAGTCTTGAAAATCAGCCAACCGGATTTTGTTTAACATGCTTAATTTCAATTGCTTATCCTTGTGTCCAGCGGCCCCCCAATGGGACAAAGCGCCCCCCAAGAATGGCCAACTCGACGTCCGGGAGAACACCAACGTCACTCTGACGTGTGCCGTCAAGGGCAGGCCGACCCCGACGATGCGCTGGACGGCCGGCCGGAAGAACATCACCAAAGCGCACGCTGCCAAGGTAACAGATGGGTGCTCACCGAATAAATACACACTGGGTCAGTGATTCTCAAACTGTGGTACATTAAGTGTAGTAGTCGACCAACACAAGAAATGGTCGCTGCATCCCTCTAGTACACGACCAGCCACTGACTTAGGCCTAATGGTAAAGTCCAAATACGGGAAAGGAATTATTTATATATGCAAAACCTTGGCAAACTTCTATCTGTAAATATACCATTAATTCCACACAGCTAATAAAGATCAATACTCAAAAGGGTCGAGATTCAATCTCTTAGGACCCTGGACATGATTTCTACGGCGCGCCTCATCTGCTGTGTAATTCCACACAGCTAAATAATTCGTATAGTCTTAATGCCCAGCAAGCGAAAAAATTAAGCAGACGACATTGAAGGGTTCAGTGAGAGCAGCACTGCGTGACGTCACACTCAAGTTAATTCAGAATTGAGAAGTGTGTAATTTCTACAGTTAACTGCTTTGACTGGTTCGCTCCCCTTGGCATTAAATTGATGTTTACATTTACCGATACACGCCTCTGATCAAATCAATACGTTATTTTTGTCTCGGCTTTTGGTCTATTTTTGGTCTGATTAAAGTTGTAATTTATATTTTGTAGGCTTGTTGACATTGAGGCACGGATCAAAGGATTGTTTGGCAATAAAACAGATAGCCATTTTTTTCCCTATTTATAGGATTTCTCATCTGACTCCGCCAGCCAAATCAGCTGTACTACGTGCTAAATTAACGGGAGTGAGTGCAGATGGTAGGAGGAAAGTGGAATGTAGCACTGAGGAGTGGGATGGCGTGTAGCACAGAGGAGTGGGATGGCGTGTAGCACAGAGGAGTGGGATGGCGTGTAGCTCAGAGGAGTGGGATGGCGTGTGGCATTGAGGGGTGGAGTGGTGTTAGGGAAAGAAAATGAGATTTTGAGATGTAGAAAGAAAAAAGATATGAGAAAGAAAGGGGGGGGGGTTTGGTGCCCCTTGCTAGCTGTATTGCAATTCTGACTTTTAAAGGAAGTCAAACTGTCCAGACGCTCCCCTCACTACGACGCCAAAGTCTGGAGCGGGAGTCATGGACTCGGAGTCGAAGTGGGTACATAACACGCTCATCTATCGTATTCAGTGTTTCGTTCATGCATCTCTCCGGGGTAAGAGGGTAGACCCCCCCCCCTCCTGGAGCAGGTCACTTTGCCTCCCTCCGGATAACCCCCCCCCCTCCCCCCCAATTTAAAGAAAGCTTCGTTACCCATTTGTTCAGTTTACCGGTGGGTCAAAGAATAGAATTGTCTTGGCAGGGCCGCAACGATTATTGTTTATTCTTATATGTCACCGGGTCCAATAGCTGATGGTTTGAGGACCTGGTATCTAGATTCTAAAAAAAATAATCGCCAGGTGTAAAGGCGGCTTCATGGATAATAGTAATAATAATAATAATAAAGTTCATTTCAAAAACACGCTTCATCCCCAAAGGCTCGAAGCGCGGTACAAAGTCAACAAAAAACAAATCTATAATTTACCACATTTAAAACAAACGCAACACTACAAAAACTAATTACAAGCATACAATGTCAAAGTCTTTCAACCCATAGGATAGACAAAACATTGAAACGAAAGGAGTTTAAATTTCGAAGTGGCGGTCTGCATTGGATTGGTACACGTGATCATTACTAAACACTTACCCAATTAATTTGACAACTAGGAGTGAAATAGTGAAACATGAATATCGACCGCAATCATCGTCCTTCACACACTGGACAGTTCTTTTGTGTTAAAAAATACTTGCCGTATTTTCGCGCATTAAGACACAGCTAATTATGAGACGCACCCATATGTAAGACGCACCCATATGTTAGACTCACCCATATGTAAGACGCACCCATATGTTAGACTCACCCATATGTAAGACGCACCCATATGTTAGACGCACCCATATGTAAGACGCACCCATATGTAAGACGCACCCATATGTTAGACTCACCCATATGTAAGACGCACCCATATGTAAGACGCACCCATATGTAAGACGCGGGTTTTGACGATTTGTGTCAAAATATCTTACATAAGACGCACCCTGGGTGCGGGTATGTCAAAGTTCATATAAGACGCACCCTGGGTGCGGGTATGTCAAAGTTCATATAAGACGCACCCTGGGTGCGGGTATGTCAAAGTTCATATAAGACGCACGCTGGGTGCGGGTATGTCAAAGTTCATATAAGACGCACGCTGGGTGCGGGTATGTCAAAGTTCATATAAGACGCATCAAAGAGGGCATTACTAGCATCATTTTACATGTTGAACGCAAATGAAAGAAAAAACACACAAAAAAGTCAGGTATAATAATTACGTTTTCTAAATATTCCTAAGTGTTGCCGGAGTCAAGAAGATAAAAGGAAATTGTTTTGTAGAAGAGTATCGATATTTTTATGGTTTTTCAAACTGGTCATTTTTTATAAATCGTACGTGAAGGGTATAATTATGTGAAGAAGACGGGAGATGTTTATAACAGACAATAAATTTATTAATTTGTGATTTTATCCGAGGGAAGCATATCAAAATAAAAATAAAGCATACATTCCCCAGATGCAGTTGAAATGTTTATTTGGAATGTCATACTAGTATAACTTTCTTCCGATAAATGACAAAATTACCTCCTCGATATACTTTTACACAAATTTTTAAACCGAATCCAAAGAGTGTATAGGACGATCGCCAACAGATCTGACCAGGACCAGCTACAACAGGATCTCAATCTGTTAGCTGAGTGGGAGATGAGCTGGGACATGGAATTTCACCCTGCCAAGTGCCAGACACTATCAATCTCTAGAAGTTGTACTCCTCTACACTACCAATACAAACTGCACGGCCATATTCTTGAGCAAGTTTCCTCCGTAAAGTACCTGGGTGTTACCATTCAAAGAGAGGTCCGATGGGATGAACATATTAACAATGTATGTAACCAAGCAAACAAGACCCTAGGGTTCTTAAGGCGAAATCTAAAGATTGGCAACTCCTGTGTGAAAGAAAGAGCATATAAAGCCTTTATCCGTCCGATTTTAGATTATGCATCTTCAGTCTGGGACCCATTTACCCAGAAGAGCATTGACAGGTTGGAGGCGGTCCAGCGACGAGCAGCACGCTTTGTCCTAAACCGCTACAGGAATACCTCAAGTGTTGGCAGCATGCTAGAAACACTAGGCTGGTCACCATTGGAGAAACGACGACGACAATCCAGGCTCTCCATGATGTACAAGATAAATAATGGGCTGGTCCACTGTTCCAGTATTAAACAGAAACTCGTACCTCTCCCCCATAGACAGCGACGAGGCCATGACAGGCAATTCAGGCTCATACCAGCAAGAAGCCAGTATAGGAGCTGCTCATTCCTGCCCAAGACAATCAGGGACTGGAACAATCTTTCAAAAGGAACGGTTGAGGCGACAACACTAGACACATTTGTGTCTATTGCCTCAAGCCTTCAAACCCCCAGTGCATGATTCCCTCACAAAGTGGCACTGGAAATCTGTGAAATTTCCTCATCAACACCAGGAACAGAAACATTGCAAATCCCATCTACATGCATAGGAGCCAAAATGATCAATAAATTGATCGTGGGCCCTTAAGATATAGAAGAAGAAGAAGAAGAAGAAGAAGTTAATTTTTTTTAAATTGACGATCTAGGAAGAAGACATTGTGTTTAAAAAAACAATAACAAAACAAATAGAATGGGCTTAATAAATCCTCGAAATGCTTGGTCACAAAGTTTTTTCATTTCTTTTCTTTCTACTGGATTATTATTCTGATATTATAAAGAGAAAAGCAGTTTAGAATTTTATGAAATAGAGGCTGATTATTTTTTGAAACTCTGTTACTTAGGAAACTTTTTTTTTTTTTTTACAAAAGTATCACACTCAAAGAAAAGACTTAAGCTTCCGCTGTAATAAAGATTGTTGAAACGTGCACTCACTATTTCAAGTATTTGTTTGAGCCCATGGAGTCAAGGACATTTAAAATTATGCTGAATACATTATGTTTAAAGCATAATGCCATCATACAATGTATAATTAACACCTATTCCTACTTTAAAAGTCATGCATTTAAGATGAAATATAATTGGTCATGTTTGATACTTAGCAAAAATCTATATTAAAATTATAGACCTTGATATCGATGTAGAGGTAGTTTAATACAATGTTTTTATAGTCGTTGAACTTGTCAGGTTGCAAGAAATAAATTAATCAAACTACCGAAATATGCGAACAAAGTAAAGTAAGCTTTTGGATTATAATCAGGAGCGGCCAATTTTCGCAACAGTACGATATTTATAATCGAATACTGTAAGCCTGTAACAAGGTTAGCCTTAAATATGCAGGTCATTAAATATATTGGGCGTAGCGATATTTCATAGGTTCCACTTATTGTAATCGGTTAGAGGCACCAGATAATATTCTTTATGAAAATGTTATTAAAATGTTATAAAAAATGTTATAAAAATGACAGTTTTGATTTTGTTGTACACATTTTTCTTCCATTTGACTTTTTTTCGGGGGTGAGGGGGGGGATACCATCAAAACAGATGCTTGAAAGAACCACTGGAGCCCCAACGAAGATCGTGCAGTCTGTTGGGTAGGATTTATGAAAATGTTATTAAATTGTTATAAAAAATGTTAAAAAAATTACTGTTTTTTTTTTTTTGTACACGTTTTTCTTCCATTTGACTTTTTTTGGGGGGGGGGGGGGGGGGGGGATACCATCAAAACAGATGCTTGAAAGAACCACTGGAGCCCCAACGAAGATCGTGCAGTCTGTTGGGTAGGAAGGGGCGTCGTAGAGTCGGGGCGACACAATGCTTCACTACATCAACTTTCTTCCCAGTCCACAATTGTTAACATTTCATAAGCCGGGCTTCTATGTGGCATTACTATTCTCTGACAGTAGGACACATCCAGGGGTGTCCAAAACTGTGTTGACCTTCCAGGGTACGTAACTCGCTAGCTGGACCGATGTTGTTGTTTTTGTTCTCCTCCATCTAGTACCGTCAGAAGAGAGGCCGGCTCACCATCAAGAATGTCAACATGGACGACTCGGGTCCCTACACGTGTATGGCTGACAACGGTCTGGGCAAGCTCAACTACACCTACCACATCAACGTTTTAGGTAATGTACTCAACTACACCTACCACATCAACGTTTTAGGTAATGTACTCAACTACACCTACCACATCAATGTTTTAGGTAATGTACTCAACTACACCTACCACATCAATGTTTTAGGTAATGTACTCAACTACACCTACCACATCAATGTTTTAGGTAACGTACTCAACTACACCTACCACATCAATGTTTTAGGTAATGTACTCAACTACACCTACCACATCAACGTTTTAGGTAATGTACTCAACTACACCTACCACATCAATGTTTTAGGTAACGTACTCAACTACACCTACCACATCAATGTTTTAGGTAATGTACTCAACTACACCTACCACATCAATGTTTTAGGTAACGTACTCAACTACACCTACCACATCAATGTTTTAGGTAACGTACTCAACTACACCTACCACATCAATGTTTTAGGTAATGTACTCAACTACACCTACCACATCAATGTTTTAGGTAATGTACTCAACTACACCTACCACACAAATGTTTTAGGTAACGTACTCAACTACACCTACCACATCAATGTTTTAGATAATGTACGGCGCCGCGGTAGCCTGTAGTTGGAACTTTAATGCATACCATTGAAATGTGATGCAAAAAGGACAAACTATTAATAACCTGATTAGAGCTTTGACCTATGCTTGACGTCATGGTCCTGGTAAAGGTGAGTGTACTTCATGACCCTGATGGGAAATACGCTAGCCAATGGCCACAGGTGTCTGTCTGATTATTTGAATTTCATTACTTTCTTTTGTTCATTTTGTTCAATGTCCCAAGTAGGCCACCATCAAATGTCAAAAGTAGGCCACCATCAAATGTCAAATATAGGCCACCATTAAATGTAGGTCATCATCAATGTCAAATGTAGGCCATCATCAAATTTAAATGTATAGGCCATCATCTATGTCAAATGTAGGCCATCATCAAATGTCAAATGTAGGCCACCATCACATGTCAAATGTAGGCCACCATTAAATGTAGGCCATCATCAAATGTCAAATGTAGGCCATCATCAAATGTCAAATGTAGCCCATCATCAAATGTCAAATGTAGACCACCATCAAATGTAGGCCACCATTAAATATAGGCAATCATCAAATGTCAAATGTAGGCCATCATCAAATGTCAAATGTAGGCCACCATCAAATGTCAAATGAAGGCCACCTTCCACTTTTAAAAAACTTGGAGCTTATTAATTACAATAGTTTTTATTTCTTCCTTAAATAAGAGGGTGGGGGTGGGAGTTTGAAAACATGGTTTAATTAAACAGTCGGTCAATCACCCATCTGTCACGTGGCCGGCATCTGCAAAGGGAAGAAAGGGGGGAGGGGGTTGGTCGGATATAAAAAGAGCCCAAAGTTAAATTGTTTCAAATATTTGAACTGTCAAATGGTAATAATAGGGGGTAAAACACTAAAAGTGGTCAAAGGGAGGGGTGAGGGGGGGGGGCGGCGCTCCAAAAGTCAAAAAGTGGCTCCGCACAATTACTACAATGAATTTGCGCACTTAGCAGAGATGTCACCATATCAGTGGCTAGATGTCACCATATCAGTGGCTAGATGTCACCATATCAGTGGCTACATGTCACCATAGGAGTGGCTAGATGTCACCATAGGAGTGGCTAGATGTCACCATAGGAGTGGCTAGATGTCACCATAGCAGTGGCTAGATGTCACCATAGCAGTGGCTAGATGTCACCATAGCAGTGGCTAGATGTCACCATATCAGTGGCTAGATGTCACCATATCAGTGGCTAGATGTCGTCATATATGTAGCAGTGTCAAGATGTCCACATGTGTATAGCAGTGGCTAAGTTTCCACACGTGTTAGCAGTGCCTAGATCTCCACATGTGTATAGACGTGGTTTGATTGCCACATGTGTATAGAAGTGATTAGATTGCCACACGTGCATAGAAGTGGTCAGATTGCCACACGTGTATAGATGTGGTTAGATCGCCACACGTGTATAGATGTGGTTAGATTGTCACACGTGTATAGAAGTGATTAGATTGCCACACGTGTATAGATGTGGTTAGATTGCCACACGTGTATAGAAGTGGTTAGATTGCCACACGTGTATAGAAGTGGTTAGATTGCCACACGTGTATAGATGTGGTTAGATTGCCACACGTGTATAGATGTGGTTAGATTGCCACACGTGTATAGAAGTGATTAAATTGCCACACGTGTATAGATGTGGTTAGATTGCCACACGTGTATAGATGTGGTTAGATTGCCACACGTGTATAGATGTGGTTAGATTGCCACACGTGTATAGAAGTGGTTAGATTGCCACACGTGTATAGATGTGGTTAGATTGCCACACGGGTATAGATGTGGTTAGATTGCCACACCTGTATAGAAGTGGTTTGATTGCCTCACGTGTATAGAAGTGGTTTGATTGCCACACGTGTATAGAAGTGGTTTGATTGCCTCACGTGTATAGAAGTGGTTTGATTGCCACACGTGTATAGAAGTGGTTAGATTGCCACTGGTGTATAGAAGTGGTTAGTGGTAAGATTGCCACATGGGTAGCTTAAAACAAAGACGCACTCTCCGAACGTCTGTATCATGATGTTAGTTCGTACCAGAAAACATTCTTTATAAAGAGATATTTGTTGAAATCAGACACATTTAACAGGAGAACACAGCAAGTTGACAAGAATTTCATGGACTGCTATAGTGGAAGAGGCTGTACTCACATGTTTTTTAATTAAGATTTCCCTAGAACTGGTCATTTTAAAAATCATCAGCTCCTTGTCCGACGCCGTGGATTTTGCTGTCATTCATCATAAATCACTGACTCCACTATCATGCGTCTTAACTCACTGACTCCGCTGTCATTCATTATAACTCACTGACTCCATGGCATATAAAGTGAAATGGTTAAAAAATCTATTAACCTTTACATTGTCCCCCCCCCTCCCTTCCTTTCCTTCAAATCGACCCCCCCCCCAAAGGTAAGTTACGGAGGCGAGGTCATAGGGGGGCAAGTTACAGTGGTGAGGTCATAGGGAGGGGCAAGTTACGGAGGTGATGTCATAGGGGGGGCAAGTTACAGAGGTGAGGTCATTGGGGTGAGTTACAGAGGTGAGGTCATGGGGGTAAGTTGAAGAGGTTAGGTGACTGGGGCAAGTTACAGAGGTGAGGTCATGAGGGTAAAGTACAGATGTGAAGTCATAGGGGCAAGTTAAAGAGGCGAGGTCATAGGGGCACGTTACAGAGGTGAGGTCATATGGGAAAGTTACAGAGGCAAGGTCATAGGGGCACGTTACAGACGTGAGGTCATGTGGGTGAGTTACAGAGATGAGGTCACAGGGACAAGTGAGAGAGGCGAGGTCATGGGGTAAGTTACTGTAACGAGGCCATAGAAATAGAGGTAAATAACAGTTAGCCATAGACGTAAGTTAGAGTGTGTGGTCATATAGGTAAGGTACAGTGGTGAGGTCACAGGGGTAAGTTGCAGTTGTGAGACCATAGAGGTAACTGGTAAGTTACAGTGATGAGGTAATAGAGTAAGTTACATGTGCGTTGTCATAGCGATAACTGTGGCAAGGTCAAAGAGAAATGTTACCATGGTGTACAGAAAAAAAAAGGGGGGGGGGGGATT